GCATGCCCAAAGCTGCCCCAAAGCAAGGAGAGAAGGGTCTGACACTCCTTCTGCCTGACCCACTGCATGAGATTAAAATAGATCTCACTAAGGTAATATCTAAGTTAACAGATACATAGAAAACAACCTACTCTGAAAAGGAGTGGCATAGGTTTCTGCTCGCAGCCCCAAAGTGGCAGAGGTGTCTCCAGTGCCTCTGCAGTCTCAGACTCTCTGGGTTTATATGCTCTCCAGAAAGAGGCAGTTGTTAGATTTCCCAAGAAACCTTTAGCGTAAATTTTCCCAGGTGTTCAGACCACACCCCTGTTTGTCCAGAGGTTTTTTGCAAGGTCATGGGTGGAGTTTCAGTAGTGAATAGTCTCCCCCATCCTTCTTATTCAACTGTTTGACATTAATTTTCAGGTGGAATGGCTTGAGTTTCTTTCCAAAATCATTCCTTCATTACTTGCCCTCCTGACTGACAGAAAATACTAATGTCCTGCAGAATTCAGGGTATGCATAAGCTCTGATTGCTCCTTGAAGCTCAGCAACTCCAGCCTAGGGTTTGTCTATGTATATATATTTATTTCAAAATGTCAGGAAAGACTCTGAATATTTGAGTCAATGGTGAGGAGAGAGCAAGGGCTTACCTTGCTTGATGCAGAATCTCAGAACAGGCAGGTGAACAGTTCCTTTTGTCTTCTCCCTGGAGAAAGGAGTGTTTCAGTGCTCAGGAGTGCCACTGCTATATATACCCTGTCACAAATTTGCCCCTTGTTATAAACAAGGACTTCCACAGAATAGAGAAGTTTTTTATTTTTATTCGGAAGGTATGTGCACACCCACCCTGAAATGTGCTGACTGTTGTTTGTCATAGTTTCCCCAGAATTTCTCCCAAATTTGCTGTCTTGCAGCATGGTATGTCAGGATCATTTAACTATATACCCAGTCATGAAGTTGCCCTTTCTTGTAAACAGTGAATTCCACAGAAAAGAGAAGTTTTCTGTTTTTAGTTAGGGTGTTTGTTCACACCCACCCTGAAATGTGTTGACAGTTGTTTCTCAAATTTTCCCCAGAATTTCTCCCAAATTTGCTGCCTTGCAGCATGGCATGTCAGGAGCAGCTAACAGGGTCTGGTGGCTGCCTTGATCATTTCATCAATCCCACCAACTGCAGCTGCTGCTGCTCCAGCACCTACATGTGTTCCTGTTCCCAACAGAACATCTCTGGTGACATTGGATGGACTGGCCTGGCTCTGAGTGCACTCACATATTCACAGTCTGCTCTTCTGCAGCCTCCCATAACATCATTCCTGTGGCCAGGCTACAAATATTCTCTTGCCTGATTGCCATGGCTGTGTAACAGCTTCATCCCAGGTGCCTGGGAAGGAGAAGGCTCTGGGGATACCTCAGAGCACTGGCCAGTACTGTAGGAGTCTACAGGAGACTGCAGAGAGACTTTGTACAAGGACATGGAGCTGACAGGTGTGCTGGGTTCAGAGTTAATGTTCTTGACAGTAGAAAGTGTAGGGCTGCGTTTTGGAGTTCTTCTGAACACAGAGCTAATAACAGAGATGTTTCTGGTATTGCTGGGCACAGATTTCACAGAGCAAGGCCCTTTCTAGGAAATGGTGAAAGATCTCCTTGACATGCTTTGCTTGTGAGTGAAGTTTTTGTTTTCCCTGTTAAACTGTCTCTGTCTGCATCACAAGTTTTCCAGCTTTTCCCCTTCCAGTTCAATCTCTGGTCCCAATGTTTGGGAAGTGAGGTTGTCGCTGCTGGCTGGGGTTAAACCACGTCTTTAGGACAGAATTCACAGAATTCACAGAATGACTTAGTTGGAAAAGACCATCAGAATGATTGAGTGCAACCCATGCCCCAACATCTTAACTGAACCATGGCACTGAGTGCTGTATCCAGTCTTTTTTTAAAACACTTCCAGGGATGGTGACTCCACCACCTCCCTGGGCAGACTATTCCAGAACTTCATCACTTTTTCCATGAAAAACTTTTTCCTAATATCCGACCTCTATTTCCGTTGATGCAGCTTGAGACAAGGTGAAAGGGCTTGAAAGGAGTGTAGGTTTAGAGTGGATATTGGTAGATATTTGTTACTGTGGGGATGGTGAAGCCCCAGCACAGGTTGCCCACAGAAGCTGAGACTGCCCCATGCCTTTAAGTGTCCATGGCCAGGTTGTCTGGGGCTTGCAGCAACCTGGGATAGTGGAAAATGTCACTGTCCATGGGAGGGCATAGATTTATCTGGTCATTAAGAACCTTTCCAACCCAAAATGTTCTGTCATTCACTGACCATTCATTCACTCAAAACTAAACGAGACTTAATTCCTTCTGTTTCCAAAAGCCCAGGAATAATAGAATTGTGAGTTGGTTGTTACAACCAGAAGTATCCAGAAGAAGTGTGCTGGACCAAAGTTTGTTCAAACAAACTGGTTGAGTCCCATGGTTTCTTTTATCTGTTAACCTGGGACTGATGTCTTAAACAAAGCGGGGTTTATCCAGAATGAGGGAGAAGACCAAGAAGAAGCAGATCTGGTGGAGGTGGGGCAAATTCCTCCTTCCTTATGAGGCCCAGCTGACAGAACAAAGCAGGGCTCAACAGTGGTCACATGATTAGAAGGGGACATAAACCATCAAAGACCCCCAAAGTGTCCCCCAACTCCACAGTGCTGTATGACCCAGTGTAAAACCCCTCCCAGGGGAAAAGTGGGGCAATCCCACATAATCCTGAACTCACAGAACCCATTGGACTCTTTGTTGCACAGGTCCCTACCCCCAAACAGTAAGGATGTCAATGTTGCAAGGAGCCATGGGGATATCTTTTAAGAGCTGTTGGCCCACTTTTTCATCCTCATTTGTTGGAGAAGACATGGGCTGACCACTTGGGGATGACCATGGCTAGCCCAAGCTCCTCTCCTGGCCTGTGCCAAGAGTGGCTGCTCCCTGTCCACCCCTGGGACGGTCTGGGTGGCAGTAAAGCAGGGCTGCCTAGTTCTCAGAGGCAGCAAAGCTGCTCTGTGCAGCTGCTGTTAGAATCCCAAGTTGAGGAGTCCAGAGTGAAGGAAAAGAGAGGGATCACTTGTATAGGTTCTCAAGAGGCTTTAATCTGATAGAGTCCAGGGACAAGCGACAATGTTCCGACAGGGTAACAGCATCTTAAGTACAGGGGAGGGAACATAGGGAGGATACAAACTTGGACCAATGGTGAGACACCCGGGGAGGGGCACAAGGCAGCGTATACATCATGACATCCGATGGGAGACAACAGGGGAGGAGAGCACGCCAAGGAGACCAATAGGTATTTGAGGGATCCAGGATGCATGCAGAAGATTCTGGAAACAAAGGTGGGGTTTCTGTAATGGACAAGGGAGGAGGGCAGGGTCTCCCTGAGTAGCAGGGATGACTCTGGAATAAGGGGTAGGTCTTTAGGTAGATGGACAGGGGAATGGGTGGATGTATCTCAGGGACAAACCAATATGTATGGGGGACAACTGGAGGAAACCATTTTGAACTTATAACACCACAATTTCATAACAAAGAAACTCACTACCACAGGACAGGGCTTGGAGCCACCAAGGATAGTGGAAGATGTCCCTGCCCATGGCTCAGGAGCTGAGACTACCCGGATGGTCTTTGAAATTCCTTCAAACCCAAACCATTCTGTGATTGTATGACATGTGGCAAAAGCTCCTGAGCCTGTTCCACCCAGGATGTGAGGCTTATTCCCGGGGACAGTCACTGTCAAACAGGGAAACCTGTCCCCTCCCATAGAGCTCAGTTAACGTGTCCTCCAGCTCTCCCAGTGTGAGGAGCTCAACCTCGTTCTTGTCGTTCTCAGCGATGACCGCCCAGGCCTTTATGTAGTTATTGTCCACCACGCAGCAGGCAGCTGACCAGAGGTGGCTGGGTTTATTAACCCTCCCCTTGGCGATGTAGTTGTTCCCAGGCACAGCACCCACAACGACATAGGTGGTTGTACAGCCCTGGGTCCTCCTGATCATGGTTTGCTGCTCGTAGTTGTTCCAGGCACCACCGTTGAGTTTCTCATCCTGGGGCACGATGTTGGTGAGGGTGAAGGTAGCCATCCTGCTGCTGTAGTCATCGTGGTGGCCATTGGGGTTCAAATGGCCCCGGTTCAGACCCGTCAGGTTCTTGTAGTCATGAAGGATAGCCTGGCTCTGGCTGAGTTTCTCTAAGGTGACATTGTAATGATTTAAGAGTGTCCACTCTTTTTCCATAGTTTTGGGATAAGTTGGGCCAATCAGCTTGACAGGAAATAAAGAGAAAAAGGTGTTAGTATTGGGGATGAGGATAATTGAACAGACTTCTCTAGAGCAGAAGTCTCTGAGTGTCAAGATCCATGTTTTTGTCTGCTCCTGATGTGGTACAATACCAGATTATTTGCTTGAGTTCCTATGAGGAACTCAAAGTGCAATCAAACTGCAAATATTTTTTTTGTTTCAGAAATACATTTCACATTTAGTGCATTATATTTAGCTTTCCTTTGGAACACTGCATATGGGTTTCTTCTGTGGTTCCTTTTTACCTAAATCAATCCTGCCCCTCTGTCCTTTGCAATGACATGAATTTCCTCTTTTTGTGTCCATTATTCCCTTGGCCTGTTTTCCTAAAGTTCTGAAGTTTGACTGAAAGACATCTGGAAGAGCTCTGTTGGTTTTGGCATTCTGCCTGTCTGCTGGATCCTTGTGGACCAAGCCTGAGCCAAAGGTGCTCAGGGGTCACTGCCCATGGATGGAGATCCCACCCTTCTGACTGGACCAACACTGATGCACTTCACTTTGCACTGCCTAAAATGTCACTCCAGAAATTCCTCCACAGTTAACCTGACCCTCTCATCTCCAGTGCCTTTTCCCTCAAGGCTTTGTCCCTGGGCCAACTCAACTACTTCTGAGTTTCCTTTCATGTCTCTAACACCACTCACAAAGGCTGTTTGACCTTCACTGGGAGCAGATAAGCTCTGCCAGGGATGCAGACCAGCTCAGGGCCAAGTGGGGATCAGATGCCAGCAGGACTGTTGTTCCCTCAAGTTTAGCCTCTCCTGGATGCCTTTTCCCCATCACTTGGTCACTCGGCACAGCAGGGCCCAGGGAGGGGAAGCATTTGACTTTGTCATGTCATGCAAAGGATTCTGGTTTGCTGTTCCTGTCAGGTGAAGGCAGAAAGCTGGGCACCCTTGGGATGTGATTCATCTCATGCTCCTGCTGATGTCTCAGATGCATCAGAAGAATCATGTGATGAAGTGTTTGAAGTAAAATGGGGAGAATCCTGTCCAATGTGTCCATTTGCATGTGTGTAGTGGGTTGGGACAAAATACAAATGGTTATTTTAATATTGCTTTTAATGACTGGAGGGTTATGTGCTGTAAGAGAGACACTCACCTGAGGCTCAACCAGCCATGTTTTAGGTCTTTTGCCCGGTCCAGGCTGGTAGATGTAAGCAGAGTAGACAGGAATACGCATCTTCCTGTCATACAGGGTGGCAAAGTAATACTGGTTCTTGTAGCGCTGGCAGATCCAGGCTGGTTTCTGCGGCTCCAGGGCTTCATTTGGAGGGATCTCCCGGAAAAAAAACTGAGGACATGAAGTTTCAAAGGACTTCACCACCTCGCTGTGTCCCAGCCAGAGGCAGCTGGCCAACACCTGCAGCAGCAGCAGCCCCAGCATGGTGGGAGGATTTCAGTGGAGGGCTCTTGCTCCCCTGGAAGGCAAATGCAGAGGAGGGGACTATGAGAGACCAAGGTGGGGGTAACTTCTGTCCTCCTGGATATGGAAAAATCATCAATGTTATGGGGTTGTGCAGGGAGATGACTGGGGATAAAAGGATAGTGGTAAACAGGTTACAGGAGAAAATACAGCTGCTCCTCCCTGGATGAAACACAGCCAGCATACCTGGCCTCCCACACACAAGGAGGACTAAATCTAAGGTGAGCCTAAACAGCAGGTGGAGTGGAGTGGAGATGCCGTGGCCAGGTTCTCTCAAAACCCTTACAGAGGAGACATCTCAGTGGCATTTTCTATCTGATAATCTGCCAACTGAATGACAACTGAAAACCATGGGACACAAATGAAGACGTCCTGCTGCTGAATCAGCAGCCATGGCAAAATTCCTCTCCTTGGTCTGACGCACATCCCCATCCCAAGGTTACTGCAGGTACTTTACTGAGATATCCACCCCCAGGGTTTGAGAGCCCCTCACTGAGAAAGATGTATGACTACATGCAGACACCGCCTAAATGTAAAGAAATAATATAAAAGTGAATTAAAAATGGAGAGAAGTGATGGAAGACTACATTGTAACTTCTGGGGTCAATTGATGGACTGAACCTGCCTTCTCTCCCTTAGAGATGCCTATTGGGTAGAGAATCCTCCTTTAAGCATGCTGAATGATTACCTCAAGCTAGCTTTTGCTGGAGATTAAAGCTTCTTAGTATATTGTTCTGAATTATTATCTCACTTTGAATATCTCTTTGCAGTCAGATACTTTCACTGGAAAGCCTCAAACCTTAACCTGTCACCGTTTTATTAATAGTGTTATTCTGTAAATAGTTAAAGTGAGTCCTTCAGGGGCGCTGACAGTTTCTGGCAGGGGGTAAAGGTGTGGAGACCCAGGCGGGCTTTCTCTGGTTGGTGTGTGACCCTGAACTAGTCAGTCAAACCCTCCAACACAGAGAACTGCTCAGTGAAGAGTCCCTACCACAGGACACCAACAGATTGGGAAGGGTTTTGGCTTTCATGTGGCAGTAACAGACTGAACACACACTGAAGGTTTGAGCAAATCTCCCTTTTTCACATGAGATAATGAAATGTAAAATAGGTTTTAGGTGCCCAGAGGAGGCAATGGTGGGGGCATAGTCTGTCTGAGGGGTGTTCCAAACCCACCCAATGCCAAAACAGCTCTCATGGCAAAATTATCATGGAACTGAGATATGGCACTGGGACAAGGTCACCTTTTCCAGCCTATTTCAGTTGAGCTCAGAGCTCAGCTTTTGCACTGGCACTGGAGAAAAAATCCTTCAACAAAACAGGGCCGGGAGGCCCTTACTTCCAAACATGATCTCATAGAATCACAGAAGATGCTGAGTTGGAATGGACTCATCAGGACCATCGGGTCCAACTTCTGGCCCTGCCCAGGACAGACCCAGAAAATCCACTATGTGCCTGACAGTATTGTACAAACACATTTTGTACTCAGACAGGTGTGGTGATGTGACCACTTCCCACAGGAGCCTGTTTCAGGGCTCAACCAACCTCTGGGTGAAAAACCTCTTCCTGATATCCAGCTTAAATCTTCCCTGACTCAGTTTCAGGCCATTCTCACTCCCTTCTGCTCTCAGCACCTGCCCACAGCAGACACCCGCAGCTGGGCACGGGCTCTGCTCAGCCCCCTGCCATGCTGAGCTGGGCTTGAATCTCATGGGGCATGGGGCAGGCAAAGAACAGCAATGCTGCACTTCCTACAAGTCTCTGGCCCCATCCAGGGTCACACAGACACTCAGCTCTTCCACTCAGACCCAATAGTGAACCCCAAATGATGCACCTGGGGTCCTGCCTCTCAGCTGACACTGGGGTATTAAGCTAAATATACCCTTGGCTCTGATGCAAGACATCTGGTCCTTTTTCTCTTTAGCAACCCTGGATCAGTAAGCTGGAAACTAAGAACTCTTTAGCAACCCTGTGACCAGTAAGCTGGAAACTAAGAACAGGAACAAGTGGTGACTTTTTACAGTACTCTGCAGAACATGCCCATAGCTGCCCCAAATCAAGTAGAGAAGTTCCTGAAAAGTTCTTTTGTATGACCCCCTCCACAAGCTTAAAATATATTTAACTAAATGTCTAACTTAATATCAGATATATAGAAACCAGCCTACCGTGAGAAGGAGCAGCACAGGATTCTGCTCGCAGAACCAAAGTGGAGTCTCAAATGCCTCTGCTGCAGTCTCAGACTGGCTGTTTCTATATAATCTCCAAGTAGGCAGAGTTGTTAGATTTCCCACAGTGTTTAGAGGGAGTTTGCCCAGGAGTTCAGCCACCTGTGTTTGTCCAGAGGCCTCTTGCAAGGTCATGGGTGGAGTTTTGGTGCTCAATAAACTCACCCCTCCTTCTTATTGAACAGTTTGATGTTAATTTTCCAGGTGGTTTGGCTTGAAATTCTTTCCCAAATCATTCCTTCTGTCCTTGCCCTCCTTTACAGAAAGTGTTAAAGAGCTGCAAAATTCAGTGCATGCATAAACCCGCCTTACTTCTTGGAGAATAGATGTGGGAACTCAGCAACTCCTAGGCTTTGCTTATATATATTTATTCCAAAGCTCAGGAAAGTCCTGAAATATTGGAGTAAATGGTGGGAAAGGAGCAAGACCTTACCTTGAAGCAGAGTCTCAGAACAGGCAGCTGGAGAGTTCCTTTCTTCTTCTCTCTGAAGAAAGACTTGGCTGATCCCTCAGGAGTCCCAGTGCAATATATACCTGGTCATAAATCTGCCCGGTGTCATAAACAGGGAATTTCACTGAAAAGAAATGTTTTCTGTTATTATTCAAGGAGATTTGTTCACGACCACCCTGAAGTGGGGTGACATTTGCTATTTGCAATTTCCTCAGGATTTCTCCCAGGTTCTTGCATCATCACGTGTCAGGAGAAAATAACTGGGTCTGGTGACTTATCTGTTCATTTCCTCATTCCCCATAAACGGGGACCTACATGTGTTCCTGTTCCTGGCAGAACATCTCTTGTGGCATTACACAGACTGGCCTGTCTCTGAGTACACCCAGATGTTCACAGTCTGCTCTTCTGCAGCCTCTCAGAACACAATTAGTAGGGTTGGACTGCGTATTTTCCCTTGCCTGATTGCAAAGGCTTTGTAAGAGCCCTTATTCATGCAAAGCCTTCTGCTGAGAAGGTTCTGGGAGACCTTAGAGCTTCTTCAGTACCTGAGAGTGATTCACATGGAGAGGAGCTTTTGAGAAGGGTTTGGAGTGACAGGACAACAGGGAGCAGCTTTAAACTCACAGAAGGCAGAGCTAGATTAGATGTTAGGATTAGATTTTAGTCTCGAGAAGAGCAGGCATAGGGCACTCTACAATTGCCTGAAAGGAGGTTGTAATGAGGTTGAAATTAGTCTCTTCTACCATGTCAGTAGTGAGAGGACTAGAGGAAAATGCTTTAAGATGAGACAGGGGAAATTCATATTAGATGTTAGAAAAAACACTTTCAACTGCCACGTTGTCAGACAATGGAAGAGGTTGCCCAGAGAGGTGCTGGAGGCACCATCCCTGGAGGTGTTTCAGAGGCATTTGGATTTCACACTGGGTGATATGGTTTGGTGGTTTAAGGTTTACAGTGGTAGTGCTGAGAGGATGGTGTGACAGGATGACCTTGAAGGTCTATTCCAACCTTGAATTCTGTAATTCAGTAATTCTGTGAAACCAATTCCTTCTTCTTTTTGGCTTCCCAAGTATTTCACAAGCTTGCTGTGGAGGACAGGGCATTTCTGGGTACTGCCAGGGGTAAAGGTCCCCAGGACAGCCCAAGGAGGTTATGGAGGTGAGATTCATGGGGTTGGTCAATCACCCATAGCTCCAGAGCCTGGAAAGTGGAAGCAGTGGGCATGGGATGAGCAGGGATGAGGATGAGTGTGGTGTCAAGCCCCAGCCAGTGTGCAGAGGTGGGTGAACGAGTCAGAGGCAGCCCCTGAGGTACAGCAGAGGTGTGTGCAGATGTCTTTCAGCCTGAAATTGCACTGATGTCCTGGGAACTGTGACATTATTGATAGTAGAAATTTCAGCAAGAAGGAACTTGTTGTTTATACATGAGATGACCCTGCCAACCAGCACTGCAGCAAATAATTTTTATTGTGAGCTACTCAGGAACTAAATGATCTGTCCTGTGATGATCTTTTGATTATGACATTGAATACATTGAATATGTTGAACACATTTCCCCAAATCAGTTCCCTATAATTTTGCAGAAAAGCTTCAGAAGCAGTGCATCATAGAAATTTATCTGTGGCTGCTCAAAGCTTTCTTTATATCTAATGCCTCATCCTGCCTGTCTGATACCACAGATGCTGCTCTCAAGGTGTAGTTTCAAAAGCAAGCAAACAAAAGCATGTCTCAGGATCACATCATCACTGAATTGTTGAGTGTGGGAGGGATGATTCAAAACCTTCTAGTCCATTCCCTTGTTCAAGGTGGATCATCTAGAGCAGGTTGTCCAGAATCTTGTCCTTGCACCTGGAGTGCTGTGTCCAGCTCTGGGGCCCACAACGTGAGAAGGACAAAAAACATATTGGAGTGGAGTCCGGTAGAGGCCACAAAGATGTTTCAAGTTCTGGAACATCTCTGCTCTGGAGACAGGCTGAGACAGCTGAGGGTGTTAAGCCTTGACAAGAAGAGGCTGTGGGGAGAAGCTGGATCCCCTTTCACTACCTAGAAGTTCACCAAGAGATCTGGAGATTTTGGACAAGGGCATGGAGTGACAGGACAAGAGGGAATGATTTCACACTGACAAAGGGCAGGGTTATATGAGATGTTAGGGAAAAATTCTATACTGAGGGGGTGGTGAGGCCTAATTTTCCAGGTGGTTTGGCTTGAAATTCTTTCCCAAATCATTCCTTCTGTCCTTGCCCTCCTTTACAGAAAGTGTTAAAGAGCTGCAAAATTCAGTGCATGCATAAACCCGCCTTACTTCTTGGAGAATAGATGTGGGAACTCAGCAACTCCTAGGCTTTGCTTATATATATTTATTCCAAAGCTCAGGAAAGTCCTGAAATATTGGAGTAAATGGTGGGAAAGGAGCAAGACCTTACCTTGAAGCAGAGTCTCAGAACAGGCAGCTGGAGAGTTCCTTTCTTCTTCTCTCTGAAGAAACACTTGGCTGATCCCTCAGGACTCCCAGTGCAATATATACCTGGTCATAAATCTGCCCGGTGTCATAAACAGGGAATTTCACTGAAAAGAAATGTTTTCTGTTATTATTCAAGGAGATTTGTTCACGACCACCCTGAAGTGGGGTGACATTTGCTATTTGCAATTTCCTCAGGATTTCTCCCAGGTTCTTGCATCATCACGTGTCAGGAGAAAATAACTGGGTCTGGTGACTTATCTGTTCATTTCCTCATTCCCCATAAACAGGGACCTACATGTGTTCCTGTTCCTGGCAGAACATCTCTTGTGGCATTACACAGACTGGCCTGTCTCTGAGTACACCCAGATGTTCACAGTCTGCTCTTCTGCAGCCTCTCAGAACACAATTAGTAGGGTTGGACTGCGTATTTTCCCTTGCCTGATTGCAAAGGCTTTGTAAGAGCCCTTATTCATGCAAAGCCTTCTGCTGAGAAGGTTCTGGGAGACCTTAGAGCTTCTTCAGTACCTGAGAGTGATTCACATGGAGAGGAGCTTTTGAGAAGGGTTTGGAGTGACAGGACAACAGGGAGCAGCTTTAAACTCACAGAAGGCAGAGCTAGATTAGATGTTAGGATTAGATTTTAGTCTCGAGAAGAGCAGGCATAGGGCACTCTACAATTGCCTGAAAGGAGGTTGTAATGAGGTTGAAATTAGTCTCTTCTACCATGTCGGTAGTGAGAGGACTAGAGGAAAATGCTTTAAGATGAGACAGGGGAAATTCATATTAGATGTTAGAAAAAACACTTTCAACTGCCACGTTGTCAGACAATGGAAGAGGTTGCCCAGAGAGGTGCTGGAGGCACCATCCCTGGAGGTGTTTCAGAGGCATTTGGATTTCACACTGGGTGATATGGTTTGGTGGTTTAAGGTTTACAGTGGTAGTGCTGAGAGGATGGTGTGACAGGATGACCTTGAAGGTCTATTCCAACCTTGAATTCTGTAATTCAGTAATTCTGTGAAACCAATTCCTTCTTCTTTTTGGCTTCCCAAGTATTTCACAAGCTTGCTGTGGAGGACAGGGCATTTCTGGGTACTGCCAGGGGTAAAGGTCCCCAGGACAGCCCAAGGAGGTTATGGAGGTGAGATTCATGGGGTTGGTCAATCACCCATAGCTCCAGAGCCTGGAAAGTGGAAGCAGTGGGCATGGGATGAGCAGGGATGAGGATGAGTGTGGTGTCAAGCCCCAGCCAGTGTGCAGAGGTGGGTGAACGAGTCAGAGGCAGCCCCTGAGGTACAGCAGAGGTGTGTGCAGATGTCTTTCAGCCTGAAATTGCACTGATGTCCTGGGAACTGTGACATTATTGATAGTAGAAATTTCAGCAAGAAGGAACTTGTTGTTTATACATGAGATGACCCTGCCAACCAGCACTGCAGCAAATAATTTTTATTGTGAGCTACTCAGGAACTAAATGATCTGTCCTGTGATGATCTTTTGATTATGACATTGAATACATTGAATATGTTGAACACATTTCCCCAAATCAGTTCCCTATAATTTTGCAGAAAAGCTTCAGAAGCAGTGCATCATAGAAATTTATCTGTGGCTGCTCAAAGCTTTCTTTATATCTAATGCCTCATCCTGCCTGTCTGATACCACAGATGCTGCTCTCAAGGTGTAGTTTCAAAAGCAAGCAAACAAAAGCATGTCTCAGGATCACATCATCACTGAATTGTTGAGTGTGGGAGGGATGATTCAAAACCTTCTAGTCCATTCCCTTGTTCAAGGTGGATCATCTAGAGCAGGTTGTCCAGAATCTTGTCCTTGCACCTGGAGTGCTGTGTCCAGCTCCGGGGCCCACAGTGTGAGGACAAAAAACATATTGGAGTGGAGTCCGGTAGAGACCACAAAGATGTTTCAAGGTCTGGAACATCTCTGCTCTGGAGACAGGCTGAGACAGCTGAGGGTGTTAAGCCTTGACAAGAAGAGGCTGTGGGGAGAAGCTGGATCCCTTTTCATACCTAGAAGTTCACCAAGAGATCTGGAGATTTTGGACAAGGGCATGGAGTGACAGGACAAGAGGGAATGATTTCACACTGACAAAGGGCAGGGTTATATGAGATGTTAGGGAAAAATTCTATACTGAGGGGGTGGTGAGGCCCTGTCACAGGGTGAGCAGAGAAGCTGTGGCTGTCCCATTCCTGGAAGTGTTCAAGGCCAGGTTGGATGGGGTTTGGAGCAACCTGTTGTAGTGGAAGGTGTCACTGCACAGGGAAAGGGATGGAAGAAGATGATCTTTGAATTCCCATAAAACACAAAGCATTCTGAGATTCTATGACGTGGGAAAAGCTCATGAGCCTTTTCCACCCAGGATATGAGGTTTGTTAGGGGGGACAGGCACTGTGGAACAGAATTTCACACTGACAAAGGGCAGGGTTATATGAGATGTTAGGGAAAAATTCTATACTGAGGGGGTGGTGAGGCCCTGTCACAGGGTGAGCAGAGAAGCTGTGGCTGTCCCATTCCTGGAAGTGTTCAAGGCCATGTTGGATGGGGTTTGGAGCAACCTGTTGTAGTGGAAGGTGTCACTGCACAGGGAAAGGGATGGAAGAAGATAGTCTTTGAAGTCCCATAAAACACAAAGCATTCTGTGATTCTATGACATGTGGGAAAAGCTCATGAGCCTTTTCCACCCAGGATATGAGGTTTGTTAGGGGGGACAGGCACTGTGGAACAGAGAAACCTGTCCCCTCCCATAGAGCTGGGACAACTTGGCCTCCAGTTGTGCCCGTGTGAGGTTCTGGACCTGGTTCCTGCTGTTTTCAGCAATGACCGCCCAAGTCGTCATGGTGGTGTTGGTCTGGCAGCAGGCAGCTGACCAGATGTGGCTGGGTACATTAACCCTCCTATTGGAGATGTAGGTGTTCCCAGGCACAGCACCTGTGATCACATAGGTTGTTGTACAGCCCTGGGTTCTCTGAGCCATCGTTTGGTTCTCGTAGTCTTTCCACTGGCCCTTGTTGAGTGTGCTGTTCTGGGGCACGATGTTGGTGAGGGTGAAGGTAGCCCACTTGCTGTTGTTGCCACTTTGGTGGCCACTGGGGCTCAAGTGACCACGGTCCAAACCCTGGAGGTTTTTGTAGTCTTGGGTGATAGCTTGACTCTGGCCAATTTGCTGTGGAGTGATCTTGTACCGATTACAGATGGATGTCTCTGTATCCATATCCTTAGAATAAGTTGGGTTGATTAGCTTGACAGGGTAAGAAGAGCAAAAGGTGTCAGTACTGAGGATGCATGTAATGAAACAGATTTCCTTGAAGCAGAAGTCTCTGATAGTCAAAATTCCATTTATTGTCATCTTAGTGTATGAAAATGTATGAATCAGAGAGGAATCATACACATGTCCCTCCTGCATGAATGCAAGAGCGTTAAAGAGAAAGCAGCTCAGAATGTGACTGCTCTCAGTTTCACTTGTGACCTTTGTGATCCAGCCTGCAGCCTGTGCTGGGAGCATGGATGGATGCACGAGAAAAGGAGCATTTCCCACTCCTAGGATTGAAAGGTGACTTTGGTGAGACACCTCCCCTGTCAAATCTGCTTCTCTTTCCTCCTGCCTCCACAGCCCAAATCTGCCAAGGGCTCTCCCTGGATCCTGTTATGCCACGCTGTGATTGTGATTCTATGATTCTGCGATTTTTTGATTCTGTGATTTTATGTGTGGTTGCTACAGGTGCACCCCAGTCCTGGAACACCAGAGGTTGGCTCCTGTAACCCCATACAGAGGGAGATGTGTCAGAAAATCAGTCCTGGAGCTGAGGTTTCCCTGGCAGGGCTGCAGTTTGTTCAAGGATTAACGTTTTTGCTCAGTAAGCAAAAAGATCTCAGTGTGAATGGAATCTGTTACAGCACAGGTGAGAATGTGTCTCAGAGCTGATCTGGCCAGGGAGCATTTTCTGCAGCGTCATTGATATGAAATTAGAAAAACATCAGCTTCTGAGAGGGGCCTGTAATCCCAAAAGACTCATGTGAAAACAAAACACTCAAAAAATGCCTTTGGAGAACATTACCAAAATCAAAGATTTTTCAGGTATCCTGTGTCCAAGGTCTAGGAACATAAAGCCAGGGATGGGTTTGGAGCATGCTGGTCTAATGGCAAGTGGCCTGTCCTATGCAGGGGGTTTGTATTGAGATAATATTTAAGGTTGCTTTCAACAAAAAACACTCTATGATTATATGATTCTACAAAAAGACAGAAGTTTTTATCCCTCCCTAATGTGGAGGCTGCAGTGGTGCAAGACCAGATAAGCTGCTCATGATCATGTGAGTAAGAAATGCAAATGGTTATATTTCATAATTTCAGCAACTTGTTCATCTTTAGGGAAGCATATTTAGCCTTCCTCTGGAACTGGACAATATGATCTTGCACAGTTTCACCAAAAACTCTCCTCCTACCCTGCTCATATAAAGGTCCTGAATTTGTTGTTCTCTTCTGCAATTGGCCTGGCCTGTTCAACAGAAGTTTGTCTGAAAGACATCTGTGAGGGCTCTAGAGCTTGTGGAGTTCTGTCTGTCTGCTGGATCCTTGTGGACCAAGCCTGAGCCAAAGGTGCTCAGGGGTCTCTGCCCATGGATGGAGATCCCACCCTTCTGACTGGACCAACACTGATGCACTTCACTTTGCACTGCCTGAAATGTCACTCCAGAAATCCCTCCACAGTTAACCTGACCCTCTCATCTCCAGTGCCTTTTCCCCTGTGGCTCTGTCCCTGGGCCAACTCACCCCATTCTGAGTTTTCTGTCAATTTTCTCCCACCACTCACAAAGCCTGTTTGACTCTTCACTGGGAACAGATAAGCTCTGCCAGGAATGCTGAACAGCTCAGGGCCAAGTGGGGATCAGATGCCAGCAGGACTGTTGGTTCAATTAGAAGAATCCTGTCCAGTGTCTCCACTCGAATGTGTGTAGGGAAGTGGGAGGAAATAGAAAAGTTGGGTTGAATGCTGCAGTTCATCTTATAATGACTGGAGGGTGATGTGCTATAAGAGAGACACTCACCTGAGGCTCAACCAGCCATGTTTGAGGTCTTTTGCCCAGTCCAGGCTGGTAGATGTAAGCAGAGTACACGGGAATGTGCAAATCTCTGTCGTACAGGGTGGCATAGTGATATGAGTTCCTGAAGCGCTGACAGATCCAGGCTGGATTCTTTGGATTCAGGGCATCATTTGGGGGAATCCCTGCATAGAAGAACTGAGGACAACCTGCAAAGGGTGTTACCACCTCGCTGTGTCCCAGCCAGAGGCAGCTGGCCAACACCTGCAGCAGCAGCAGCCCCAGCATGGTGGGAGGATTTCAGTGGAGGGCTCTTGCTCCCCTGGAAGGCAAATGCAGAGGGACACTCAGCTTGGAGAGCTGATAATGGCCTGTGCATGTGGGACAGAGCTGGCAGAGGAGCAGTCTACTCCCACTGCTCATTCATTGACAAATAAACTGGATTCACTGGATTCATTTTCCTCCACTTCCAAAACTCCAGGAATACAGTAATAACGTGTTGGTTGTTATACCCAGATATGGTTATGAAGTAATGAATCTCTCAAACAATGCCTGAGGTCTATGAGCTCATGATTTTGGATTTCACTGGTTTTTTTATAAAAATCTCTGCTCCAGTGCCTATTTACTGGATCTTCTCTGCCTTTCAAGTTAGTGGAGGCACTGCCTACATGTTGCTCTGAGCTGTGCACTTTCTGGATGAGAGATGTTCAGTGAGCCCTGCTGCCCAGTGATCCAACTGTCCTGTGGTCTGTTCCGTAAGAAAAATTTCCATTTCTTCTACTTGTAAAAAATTCTTTTGGATTCTCCAATCTTCTTACAGTTCTTAGATCAGAGATTCCTACATGAAGTACTTTTGGTAAGTTTTCCATATCACGGTGAAAAAAAAACACAAAACAACAAACATACAGGATTTACAGCACTTTTTTAGGAAATTGTTTTGAAGTCCAGATTTGGCTTCTCCCAGTGGATGTTCTCCTGATTTTTCCCTCAGTTTTCTTTCTATCAGATGCTAAATGCAGCAGTCCAAACTCATGGTAAAAGCAGGACAAGCTGGGAAGTAGCTGAGCAAATGCAGGGAAATGAAAACAGCTGTTATGGCTGCAGTAGTGGGAAAAGGAGGTTTTGAACCAGAGGGCAGTACTGTTTCTACTTTAATGACTGGACATGGCACTCAGTGCCATGATCTGGGTGACAAGGTGGTGATTGATCAAAGGTGTGGCTTAATGACCTTGGACATTTTTTTCAACCTAAATGATGCTGTGATTCTACTGAAAAAAAATGAGATGTCATCAACGCCTCCTCCTGAGTTTTCAGTCCCTGTGGATAAAGGAAGTGAATAGCTGAAGAGATACTCAGTACAGGGAGGGCTGCAGGTCTTCAGGGCAAAGTAAATCACAGCAGCAGAAGGCAAATGCACATGAGAAAACAAAATGCAAGAAACAGGAATGTTGCTTGGACAGGTGAATTGAGGAGATTTGTCCTGTTCTGGACTGCTCTCCTTCAAGGGCAGCAAAGATCCCATGGCCACAGGCAAGATCTGTGAATGAGGACAGAGAGGGAGTGTAGAAATCACAAGGCCAGCACACTCTTTACATCAGCCAGGATGGTGATACATGCATGTCTCACCTTACATGCCAGGTATGTTCATAGAATCACAGAAAGAATCATGGAATGGTTTGGATTGGCAGGGACCTTAGGGATCATCCATTTCCAAAGCCCCTGTTTTGACACCTTCCACTGGACCAGGTTGCTCAAAGTCCAATCCATCCTGGCCTTGAACACTTCCAGGGCTGGGGCATTCACATGTTCACCTTTGCCAGGTGTACAAAGGAGAGTGAGCTTCAAGTGATGGGTAAAACACTGACCCAATCAGACCAAAGATTAGAGGTTCACAAAAAAGGCAACAGCTGCTTCTTCTGTTCTTCCCCTGCGTCCCAGAAGTGACCCTAAAGCACCTCTGCTGTGCAGCTCTCCCTCAAGGAACATTTTCTGTGTGAAAAATAGACCCCTTGTCCAGAGCCATATGAAAAGTATCAATTTTATGGAGAAAAGTGCAAGGAAAAGGTAAGGATATAAAAGACTGACTATGTTACTGAATCTCCCCCCCAAGGACAGCAGAGGTACATTATCCATTTTAAACAAATTTTTTTCCTTTCTATGCAACACTCCAAATGCTGGCTTATGGCTATCCTTGAATTTTGGAGATAAATTTATTCAATGCATTTTTTTTTTCTCTCACAAGGATCAACAGCTTTTTTAATACTGTACAGTTCAGCTGAAAAAGTTGGTGTGGGATTTGGATATCTTTGGTTACATTAACTCCACCAGACCAGCTGCCACTGTCCCTGTGCATGCAGAGCAGGTGACACTGAGGTGACAGAGGGGTCACCTCCTTGCCACCAATCAAGAACCACCATGCTACTAACACTCACAGCTGAGAGCTGTCAGGCTCCCTGTGGTTACACTCACTCTTTCAGTTTCTTTTGGCTTTGGAGACCAAAAATCAGTATATTATTTTCACTTTCAGATCCTCACGTGGCAAAACCTCTGAACTGCATAAAACAGGGGTAATGAGCAACCACCACGGGAAGCTGCAAGCCAGGTTTTCAGCCAGATAAAGGAGAAGGATGATAAGAAGCAGACCCTGTGGAGGTAGGATGGTGTTTTCATCATGGCAATTGTCCTCCCTTACACAACTGGCTGAGCTGTAGAACTCCCACCCCTCACCCCTGGAGAAGGTCACATTCACACCTGAGGGTTTTCATCCCTTCTGATGGGCCAAAACAGCCTCGACTTCCCTGATGTGAGAGGCAGCTGAGAAGAGGTGATAAACCATCAAAGACCACCTGAAGTGTCCCCAGACTCATTCCTGAGGCCTTCCACACAAGAACTGAAAGCTCCCCCCCGCCAGGTGAGGTGGCTGGGCATTCCCACACAGCCTGAGCATATTTTAACTCACTGGAGTTTTTGTTTGGGGGCTTTTCCCCCAACACCTGATGGATCAAGACTGTGACCATCACTTCAGCCAACACACGTTAAAATACCAACAATAAAATCTTGTCCCTGGATCTATGGGAGGTGAGGTCTTTCTACTCTTATCCTTTCTTTCTTTTTTTACCTTATATATTTCCTTAAGTGATATTTTAATGGATATATACATGTATATATCTTTTAAAAATATGGAGAGATATATATACAGATATATATAAAATATGGATATATAGTATGGATATTAATAAAGATAATACTAACCAAAATTACTACATACCTCCTTTCCATTGCAACCAAATTGTTCTAAAATAAACCCTTCTACATACATTATTCTTAAAACCACTGGTCATTCAGTGTTGTTTCATTCTAATCCCCTCCAAGGGATCTACTAACGAGAACCTGGGTTACCCTTCCCTTCTGGTCTCTCACACTCTGCAGTTGTTCCTCAGGTAAAATGGAAGTCCCAGCATATTAATGCAACTCTGGAGCCTGAATTCTGAATTTGTGGAATTTTATTTCCACCATGCAGTTGTAATAACACACTTCCTCCTAAGCTATAGCAGCAGTCATAACTGCACTTCAATTTCAATCACATTTTGGTATGTATAGAAATTAATCCATGCTGTGGTTTCATATAGATACATTCTTAGGAGGATGAAATACCTTTTCTTATTAATACAACCTGCTTATAAAGCCTCCTTTGATTTTTCTTCCTGGAAGATGTTTGTGTATTAGGATTTCACCATGTGCGTGGACTCCCGAATGCTTTTGAGATTTGGCTGCTTTGAAGTTGTTCTCAGATATGCTACCAAGGTGGTCTGAGGCATGGAGCACACACCTTCAGAAAGGGATTCACACCTTGTGAAAGGCATTCACACGTGCTGAGTCTGGCCAAAGGGAGGCTGAAGGGCAGCCCAACAGTCGCCTACAGCTACTCAAAAGGTCAAGAACACCAAAGCTGAGCTCTTTGTGGCAGTGTCAGGCCCTGTAACAAAGGGCAGCACCCACAGACTGGTTTGGGAGGTTGCACAGCAGGATAAAAATTGCCTCTAGGCACCTACTACAGCACTGGAACAGGTTGTTGGGAAATGACAAATGATGAATTGCACAGGTGACTCAAGACTCAGCCGCATGAAAACACAGCTGAATTAGAGTCCTGCAGCTGATGTTGCCAAACAGCATTTCTTTGATCCTGTGGTAGATATATCTCCTATCTTCTCCCATTCCACCCCACCCTGGCCTGCCACACTCAGATATTGCCTGGAAAATAATGTCAACACAGGCCAAATCCTCTGGTCCTGAGAGTTGTACTTTTAAGTCTTTCTATAGCCCAAAGTCATAAAAAACACACCACATACCTCAGAGAGCCAGGAGGAGGACGCACTTCCAGAATCCTGGTTCAGGTTTCTCCTGGGGAAAAGACAGCAACTAGATGAGACCCCAGCCACTCATCTCTTTCCCTAAGGAGAGACTGATCTTTTCCAACAGTGTCTGCACCAATTTGGCTCCTCTGCTAGCCATCCCCACACTTAAATAAATACAAGCTTTGCTACAGCACATTAGTTGTGCCGAGGGTAATTAGCAGTTACGTCAACATGATTTCCAGTTTGACTGCTGGCTGACTCCACGTGGAAATGAGGTTGTTGATTGCAAGAGGAAATATGTCAGAGGGCTTCAGATGATCCTTGTTGCTCATGAGGAAGAGCATCCCTTGAGCTCAGTGCCTTTGGTCATCTCTGCTGGGCTTGGCATCCCCTGGATGTGGCACGGAAGGGAGGGCCAGCTGTGTGCAGTGGGCAATGCTGATCGTCCCTTCACCTCTGAAGGTGTCACTTAGAGCTCACTGCCTCCAGCCAGAAAAGATGTGATAATGTTTTTTGTAGGAGGTGGCAGACTCAAATCCTGGCCTAATTAAGAACATATCCTCATTATAATGAGAGTTTCACAAGAAACTGACCCTTGAGGACAGACTAACACAAACAAACAGCTGTAGGAACTTGCTCCTGGCTCACCCCATCTAAATTACTTGTAGTCCCAGGAGCTCTGGTTTTGGCTAAGCAGGATTCACCCTGTTTAAGGGCTGGTTCTCAGCACTCCCTGTAGAGTCAATGCAAGAGGCATATCCACATTTCCAGGGCACAGCTCGCATCTGGAAGATGAAGGGAATTACACTCTAAAAGTGTTTCTTCCTCTCTGATGACCAGGAGGATTCACAGAGGGCCAAGCTCTGATTTACACCTCCAACATTACATGAGCTGAGTCCCACTTTATGTTGCCATCTCTAAATCCATGATGTCTGTATCACATTACTTAGCCAAAGCATAACAGAAAAATACAAAAGCCATCCATTTTGAAAGCCCTTTCCTTCTGGACAGACCTTCAAAGCAAACAGCCTCTCCTCATTCATTTTCATGGGCTTGCTGTGTCAATCCAGCAGGAATTTCAGGGGAGTTTTGCAACCTGTCTGGAAGGATGTTTTCTTGAGAGCACAACAAATAATCAGCATTGCAAGGAACAGGAGGGAAGGATGCACTTTGTGCAATTCAGTCTGAGTATTCTGACACCAAGATGTTTTATGTGATTGAAAAACACAACAGAGGGTAAGGAACAGAGATTAGGTTTCTTACTTCCTGGCAGGGTTAGCTGTGTGTTTTAAGCCTTACTCAAGCCCTAAAGAGCAGATAGTGCAACAAGATCACCTGGTCTGAAAATGAGCTCATGCTAAACTGGCCACAGACTAGATGCAAATTTGGGTTCTTGAGAAGTGAAGTCAAAAGTTTTTTGTGCAGGTGAGTTGCTCTGAGTCAGACCTCCTGCTGGACTAAGAGCCAGCTCACGGATGCAATGAAGCAAGTCAAAAGTCCTTCTCTGGGCCTTAGGGCTTCTTTGGGCTCCCCTTGTGATCCAGCCTTAGTCTGCAACTCTCCTCTTCCATCTCAAACAGGTGACCTCAGAGGGGACCTGTGATGCTTCCTTTGTGACTTAGTTTTCTGCTGCAGATACCATTTCATGGGACATGACCATTGCCAATGGGATGTGTGAGAAAATCCTGAATCTGGATGCTATGGATGCCCAATTTTATGCTCCTTTTCACACAGAAAGATCCAGAGAACAAGATTATGGTAAAAATATACTTCTGTCCATAACAAGCATCTGTGGAAATTTTAGATGGATATTTCCAGTACTAGGTCAACAAGATGTGATGAGTCACAAAATGTGGTAAGCAAACTCAGAATTTCCTTTGTTTGGTGGGATTCTGCACTGATGTGTTTCTGAAAGTGTTGTACACGGGCAGCACCTCATTTCCCAGGTAGGAGAGAGAGGAATGGGAACATGGAGGGTGGATGGGTTTGCAGGGGTGACTTGGAACAGGATGAGAAAATCAGCCATAAGAATAGGCAAATGCTTCAGTGATGAGCCAAGATTTTCTTCAAACTAAACCAGACAGGAATCTATCAGGGAAAAGCAGAAACCTGCACGTAGCTGGCTCAGATCTCACCTCAGCCAGCTCTTGGACAATTAAAGCACTTCCCTAGAACACAACCTTCCCACCAGGGGCTGACTGCCAGGACTCAGCTCTCAGTGAGGGATATTTTCTGGGGCAGAGAAGGCAGCTGATGAGGTTAGGGAAGTGCTGGGCAGCAGTACCCACAGCCCAGCTATGGGTCTAAGGAGAGGTTGTTTCATTCTTCAGAAACAAAAGCAAAAGCATCTGCTGTTACAAGCAAGGAAACCAGACCAGCAAAACTGGTTTACAGGAGATGAATTTGAAATCCAGACTGGCTGATAAGAGGCAGATCCCATAACAATGAAATTTTGGAGGGATTTTGAGGTGTTTGTGCCAGTTTAACCTCTGGGGTTAGACCACACCTGGTTGCCCTCATTGGAACTCTTGGTTGCCTTGGTAGAAAAAGTCAGATTCACCAGTTCTGCTACAGGCTGTTGTGCCTGGACAAAGCAAGAGCAAATGTTACCATCATCATTTGGGTGTGGGGAACCCTAAACCAGAAACCCATCAACCTCAAGGTGGAGGTACTGAATGCAAAGAGATGGATTTGATCCAGCTGTCCCATGGGAACCCTTGGAGACACCATTGGCTCAGCATGGAGCCAGTCTGGAGCAGTCTGATCCAGCACTGATGGTAGATCTGCTGCAAGGATCAAAGTGATCTTAGAGGCCTTTTCCAGCCTAAATGAGTCTATGATCCTAAAAAAATACCTTTCTGCTTACACAGATTGGTGCAGAGGCTTCACCTCTGAGAATGGTGGGGATAAGGAGCCAGTGTGAGTCAAGTCCAGCCTCAAATGTCAAAAGGTAAATCTTTATGTGACCATGGGTATTGTGAAAAAATCAAATGTGCAGAATTATTTAAAATAATACCAAAATGCAGGTCAACGTGGGCAAAGCTGGAGCAATAAGAAGATTGAAAATATCAGGTTTAGCACTCAGTTTCTATGTGCTGGTTCTTGTTTTTCAGACAGCTGCAGATCAAAATCACAGAAATCAGCACAAAATGCAATGGTTTTTTGTTTTTTTTAACAACTTTTATGGTTTTTTTAAACAACTGTTTCTTATAAATACAGAGCTGTTATCATCAGCCCCAACAGGGCATGCTGGAGCATGGAAACACAGGAAACACAGTGCTGAGAACATGACCCTTTCTTTGCATACCTCTCTCACACTTGTTCCTGAGTATTACAATCATTGAAACACAGAAGGGTTTGGATTGAAAGGGAACTTCAAGATCACCTCATTCCAATCCCCTGCCATGGGCAGGGACACTTTTAACAAGATAAGGTTTCTCCAAGCCCCATTCAACCTGGCCTTGGACACTTCCAGGGATCCAGGGACAGCCACAGCTTCTCTGGGTAACCTGTGCCAGGGCCTCACCGCCCTCACAGGGAAAAAATTTCTTCCCAATATCCCATTTAAGCCTGCCCTCTGGCAGTGGGAAGCCATTCCCCCTTGTCTTGTGCCTCCAGGCCCTTGTCCAACATCCCTTTCCAGCTCTCTTGGAGCCCCTTGAGGCACTGGAAGGAACTCTGAGGTCTTCCTGGAGCCTTCTTTTCTCCAGACTGAACACTCCCAACTCTCTCAGACTCTCTCCAGAGCAGAGGAGCTCCAGCCCTCCATCCATTCCCTGTGGGTGCATTATTTGGAAGGCACCATGAGGTTAGTGGCATAAACTTGCCATTGAAGTCCATGCAATTATTTAATATCAACCTTTCAAAACATTGTTTTTCTGCAGGATTAAAACAGGGAACACCCCTCTTTATTGTAACCTAGGGCAACTGCTCAGCCAGATTATTCCATTACAAAGTTCTGCTCTCCTAAAGATCACAGGTGCCCTGCAGCTACTTGGGCACTTGGGCATTATCTGTTAGTGCTTTTACTGTGAAGTCTTCTACTAATTTGAGATTCTTTCTCTGTGTGTTATATTGTATATTGAAACTTTGGTTTTTACTCTTGGAAATCACTCAAACGTTCAGAAAAAGGAGGAACAGACTTAAAGGTATTATTTACTCTCAAACTACTCCCTCATTCTCTAAATTATTTTCATTTAGAACCTATTCAGGCCGCTCATCTTTAAAAGGCTGCATGTTTTTTATCCTCAGTCATCCAAACAAAGTAACCTGCAGAAACAACCCGTCCCAAAGATAAGCAAATAATATTTACTAAGATCAGGTAAAAACTCACAGCTTTTATTGGTTTGTCTGCCTGAGACTGACTTTGCTGTAGAAGACAAATTTTGGTGTGTTAAAAACACTGCAATTAATATTTTTCAATTTCAATTTTGCAATTAGTTGTAATAAAGTTAGATGATTTTACTGATAAGCTTTGAGAAAAAATAATATGCCAGTATGGAGAATTTCTTTGTCCACCTTCTGCCTGGTGATGTGCAAGGGCAAAACACACAAGGTATAAAAACTCCAGACATTTTGTTGCCTGACTGTTCTTTGAAGAAGCCTCATCATGAAAGTCCCGTCTTCCCCACCCCAAAGCTGACAGGCTTTCAGGAACTGACACCAGCAATAAAACAGAAGGCCATCAAGTTTTACTTTCAAAAACCCCCAGCTATTTTAAGCACATATATTTCACTCCATCCTACCTAGAGCACTGCAAAGATGTCGCACAGAGAAGGAAGAGAGCCAGGCCGCCACGTCACGTTCTGCACTGTGCTGCGATGGGGAAGAGGCTTTCCTGGAACCAGGGATGCTTTTTGGCCTTTTTTTTTTAAGGAGAAGCAGAAGAGTGTCAACAGCCCTGGCACAGGAAGGAGGTTGCCTGTGCTAGACCGTGCTCAGCGATTGCGCGCAGGAAGTGGCGCAACTCTTCCCCGTACTCAGCAGCTGCTGAGACCACAGCACCCTGGTTTTGTTTGGGGATTGACACAAGCCCCATGAGGCAGCTGTATGGGATCCTTGCCTTGAAGCAGAAAACCTCTTTATCTTTGCTGTGAGCCACTCCAGCCAGCAAGACTTTCGCTGGCAAAGTATGATGGTGCGTGCTCAACTTGTGAACACAAGCAAAATTCTTTATGAGAAATGTCAGGCTTGGTCTTCCTTTGGCTTGTCTCTGCTGTTATGAACAATACCCTGCCAGCTGCAGGGTGGGAGCCAGGGTTTCCTGAGCTCTGACTTCAGCTTTCACAGGTACTTGCCAAAGGACCATTGCAAACTCCTAAATCCTCTGCCTCAGCCTCCCTGCCTCGATATGACCGACGTGAAACTCTTGGAGTTTGTGAGTGTGCCAAAGGTCACAGCAGATTGTCCTGGAAAGGGCACTTAGTTCACCACCAACCTCCAGAAAGGTTCAATCTAGGATACACCAATCCTGGCAGCTGCCTGTCCCTTTAACTCACAAAAAATTATTTATTGTAGACTCCACCACATGCCTGGGCAGCACATCCTTACCTGCATTACCTAACTGCACTGGCTGCCCTTACTGCTGGATTGTTATTTTATTCCTATTGTAAATGCTAAACATGTTAGTTACTGACACTGCTGAAAGGTTCATTTAACATTCTGTCCATCAGCCCATCAAGGAGGAGGAGGTCAGCATTATTATAAAATTATTTAGTTTGGAAAAGCCTTCTAAGATCACCAAGTCCAAATGCTAACCCAGCACTGCCAAGGCCACCACTAAACCTCATCCCCAAATGCCACATTTACACATCTTTCAAATCTTTCCTTCCACCACTGCCCTGGACAGCCTGTCCAACACTTGACAACCCTTTCACTGAATAAATGTTTTGCTAAATCAAATCTAAACCTCCCCAGGCACAATTTGAGGCCATTTCCTCTACTACAATTGGTGATTCAGGACAGCTTTCAATAATTGAAAATATTTTTTTAACACCATTCAGGCCAAAGGGGAAATAGCCTACAAAATCACCCTTTATTTCAGGTCCTAAAATCTGCTCTTTCCCTTAGTCAATAGTTCTGTGACTAACCATCATTTTTCTTCTTCAAAGGTGTTCTGGAAGAGTTTTGAAATTCAGATTTGCAAATGCTTATAGCTGAACACACATATGCCTGTCCTCTTGCCTCATTCCTAACATAAAATAAATTATAAGAACTCAAGGTCAGAGTTCTCTAAAGTGAAGGAAAGAAGCCTCACTACAGGCCAGATAAATGTCAAGCTCTTCACTGACCTCAGCTTCAGGGTGGCATAAAGTAGAAACCAGGTCAGCTTCAAAGAGATGAGCCTCCTTATGTAGAGCTTACTGGGACTAAATGAGAAAGGCCAAACACAGCTTGGGGCAATAGAAAATCCCTTTTTAGGTGCTCTGACCATCATCATATGACCAGGGGAAACTCTGAATGTGCTGCTCCATGCACAGGGTGGTTTTTGCTGTGGACATCTACAAAGCAGAGAGTAGCCAGGAGCAGGAGATGCCTTCACCTCGCCTGTCTCAGGGACGCCTCTGCAATGCTTGAAAACAGCTGCTAGAAATAACTGGGGAAATTTGAGCAGGGTAAGAAAATGCTTTCACATGAAGAAAGAGGGGAAGTCGTGCTTGTCTTTAGAAATAAAGGGTTGGAAGAAAAAGATGGACCCCAGAACCTATAAACCTGGGAGGATGAGCTTCATTTAATTCCTGAACAGAATTTCAGAACAACTGCTGAGGCCACCTTTCTGCAAACATCCTAAATAAACATGAGAGAGAGTTTGTAAAGACCAAATTTTCTCAGTCCACTCTGACTTCCTCTTGTGAGCTGGTAGCAGACCTTGTGGGTAAAGGAGACAGATGATTTCATATTGCTTCTTTTTATAAGGACTTTGGATCATGTCTCCCGTGGCAGTGTTTGAGAGACCAGAGGCTGACACAATGCACTGGGATACCTGTGGGAAGTGATGGGAAGTGCTCCCAGAGTACTGTGGCCTTTAATGATCCACACCAGAGTGGAAGAACATGGGTTTCCACACAGCCTCCCAAGGTCCTGTTCAATGCTTTCACTGCTAGCTCAGCTGATGGAGGAAACCGTATCCTTGTTAAATTCGCATTCTCTTCCAAGCAGGAAATTAGTTCAAGGGCATGGGGGAGCGAGATTAATATTTAACAGGATCAAAACAAGTTAGAGAGATATTCTAGGTGGAAAAATACCACCTTGAAATTCATGATGATAATAACAGCATCACAGCCATCCATTTTCTGCAGACACTCCTAGAAATTGTCCTCAAATCACCACCAGCAGCACCAAGTGCCATTTCCCAGCAGGAGCTCTCACAAACAAGAAGGAGGAGGAGGAGGGGTTTGCAATTCAATCCCCTTAATGTCTCATGCCCCACTGATTCCCAAAGCAGGCCAGAAAGCCACCCCCCTACAAGTGTTACAGCAGCAGGGCAGAGATGAGCCTCTGACCAGCTGACAGGACACCACGTTGCAACTTGTGCAGGGGGGAAGAGATTTTGACAATAAATATTTACAATAAAAATTGACAATATTTATCATACACACTGTCCCTGCTGCCTCGCCTCAGGAGGGTTCTGACTCTGAAACCTGAACTCCTGTTGGTGGTCAATGGCAACTCAAGTCCCCAGAGCAAATACTGGCCAAGGATGGGAAGTGGAGGGAAGTTTTCTTTCCTGTGTTTTCTGTGCTGCAAGGAGCTTCGGCCATGAAAGGGAAACTTGGTGACTGGGAGCATGTGGGGTCACCAGCACGGATGCTTACCAGGCAAAAGTGAAAAGCAGAAGTTGAGAAGGTCAGATTTCTTACACTTGAGTTCAAAAGTACAGGAATTTTACTTTTGAAATATGCCTGGGTGCAGCCAGGGGCCAGGAGCAGGATGGTGCCTCAGTCAAGTGTCCTCCAGCAGCTCACTGGGCATTATTCCCAGTCACTTCCCACAAGACAGAGCCATACTTGGTGTGGGGTGAGATCAGGAGGGGGCTTTGCCAGGCTGCTCCAAATCCCTAATCCCTCTTGGGAGCAATCTCAGTGTGACCCTGTCCCTTTGTGGGGACGCTACCAAAGGGAGAGAGCAGCAATTTTATGTGGGCTCTGTGGGGTGGATAAAGGCCTGTGGGATCAGATAAAAAGCCATAATTCCTGGAGATGGGAGATGAACTGGCAGGCAAGGATTAGCCCTGCAGCCGCTTGGCATGCTGAGTGCTGTTTTCCATCATTCCCTGCTGTCAGGTTTCTCCTGCAGCAGTGCCAGTGATGGGCAAATCCATGCAACACCTACAACAACTCCCCAGCAGGCCCACTGGCCAGCCCCAAAGAGACATCTCCCCTCCAAACAGCTTTCTGGCCAGAAATTTGCTTCTTTTCATGAGATCTGGCAGAGAAGGGCTGGCTGAATGTCTGCCCTCAAGTTCTGCCCCAGTGTGCTCAGCACTGCATCCTCTGGACTCCAGAGTAGTGTCCAGAGGTACCAGGAGATGACTGGGGGTCCTGGGGCCAGGGCAGGAGCTGGGGCTGGTTGTCCATGATCACCCATGTCTATATCCTGAGTCTATAGGTTTTTGTCTGGCTCCACGGTGTGTGCTTAAATATAAACAACCGTAACTGCAGCTACTGACACAAATCAGCACTTGTGCATGGAAGAGCATCAGCTGCAGCTCTTCACCTGGAAAATGACCCGTTGCACTAATTTTCCTTCCTCTTTTCCCCGTGTGAAAATGGTGTTGGAGCAGACTTGCTGTCCCTACTTTGTGCTATGTCCATCAGCACTGTCCTGGCTGAATTTTCACATTTTCCTACAGAAACACAGAATCTTTAATGATGGAAGGGAGGTCTTGAGATCAACCCCCCTGCCTGCCTAGAGCAGGTTACACAGAGCACATCCAGGTGGGGTTGGAATGTCTCTAGAGAGGGAGACTCCACACCCTCCCTGGGCAGCCTTTTCCAGTGCAACCCTCACTGTAAAGGAGTTATTCCTCATGTTGAGATGGAACTTCTTGTGCTTTAGTTTATGGCCATTGCTCCTTGCCCTGTCACTGGGCACCACTGAGAAGAGTCTAGCACCATCCCCTTGACACTCACCTTTATATTTTTAAGTATTGTTGATGTCTTAGGCTTGCAAGGGCCTCCTGGTCCACTCTGGGTAACAGGAGACAAGGATAGGAGGAGAACCCAGATGTCCTGACAATGAGCAAAGGATTAAAAAAATAAATAAAAAAAATTCCTGAATCCAGCTCTTACAGCTGCCTGTGAAACTTCATTTGTTCAGTGGAGCTCAACATGTGAAGGCAGCTATTTAATTCTGCTGCTAATGGCAGCCCAGAAACCTTGGTAAAAAAGAGGAAAACAGCCAACAAAACAAGTTACTGCATCAGATGAGTGGTAAACCCAACGAGTTGATGTCAGGAGTGAACCTGTGCCCTTTAAACTCACAGAATGGTTCTGTACCTGGGGTAATATCATAAAGGACCAGCTCCAGAGGCACCATAAAAATGAAGCAAATTTCTCAGGGTACAGCTTGTGGGTGCAGAGGATTGTGTTATCACCCAAATGATGAGGTCTGTCCCTAGGCTGAACTTAACCCAATGGAAAAGTTGTCCCTACCAACTCTGCTGGCCTGTCCCATGGTCCATAGCTTTGGAAGGAACAGGTGACCAGTGACACAGCCAGTGTACAAGCTGGTCTCTCTGGCTTTTAGGGTCAATTACAGGTTGATTTAACCTTTACTGGGAGGTCCAGCTACAGAGGAAGACAAAGCCATCAGTGGTGCTGGAAAGTATCCATAGTGATGGCATTCCATAGCATTGATTTCCACTGTGTGGGACTTTGAGATTTGGTAGGAACCTTGAGCACTGATTTGCTCTTTCTAGGCCTTGATTTAGATTTCAAGTATTTGGTTTGGCTGGTGACTGGAGCCACTTAAGCAGGCTGAAGCAGCCCTTGCCACATGCCCATCTGTCCAGGAGTTTGTCAGCTCACAGAACCAGTTTTCAACCAGCTCCTTCTCAAACAGCAAACCTGAAAGAAAGAAATAATAATTAAAAAAAAAAAAAAAAAGAAAAGAAAAAAACAAGAAAAAAGGAGCAGCTGCACTTGTTTTTTGCTGCAGGAAGTTCTCTGATGGGGAGAAAACTTTGTTTTAAAACAAGGCATTCTTTAGCACTTCTTGTTCTTCGCTTTGCAGTTGCCTTCAGGTCATTGCAATATTGCAGCCTTTTTGCACCCATCTTTTGCCTGCTGTTGCTCCAGTGGACAATGATCCCCTCAGGAGTTCCAGTGGCCTCCACTCCTTGGGAACAAAATACAAAAAATACAACACTATTTTTACCTTGCAGTTTTTTAATTTTTGTCTCTGTCCTCCTGTGTGAGCCATTTTGCATATGTGTCTCTCCCTCCTCACCCAAACCACTCCTGCTAGCACTAATTTTTAGCTGTTGAGCTCAAGATCTAATACCAGCTAATATTTTATGTCCTGTTTCCAAACCAGCACTTTATAGCAGACAAACCTATTTCCTCATTGCAATGATTTTTTATGTGCCATAAACCATCTCTGCAGGAGAGATGGCATTGAGAAAAACAGCAAGTTAACCTGTATTGTATGAGGTTGGCAGAGAGATACAGCCCTGTGCCGGCCAAAGCAGCAAGTCCTGGCATTTCCAGGCTCCATGACCTGCACTGGGAGAACCACAATGATTGAGGCTTGTACTGACATGGGCAGAACTCTGTCAGCAAGAGTTGTTATTGAACTAAACTCCTGGCAGCTGCTGGTGAATAGGTCAACTTTGAATCAAAAATCTCTCAGGAGCAGTAGAAAATGGAAGAAATTTACAGGATGCATTTGTTTCCAAATATGCCAGGAAATTATCCTGATCTGCAGCTGACAAATGCTTGGGGGAAGCTTTCCCCAGAGATGTGGATGGGCTGAAGGTGGGTTGTGGCCAAGGCAGCCCCATGGGAGAGCTCAGGGTGTAAGTGGATCCAAGCCCAGCGTGCAAGGAGAGGAGGGGAATCCTCCAAATCTCCATGGGCAAAGGGGGAAATTACTATTTTGGCTGCTCCTCTTCATAAAGGAGAAAATCTCCAGGTCCCAGAGCAGCTGGTTTGGAGTCCAGCCTTGTCTGTGGGTGGTGTGGCTTCCATGAGTGTGTGCTCACATTCCCTGGGGTCCCCAGACCGGCAGAACTGCCAACACAACTTGGTCATCTCCCCGTGATCATCCCTCCATGGTCATCCTGTCATGGTCACCCCTCCATGATCATCCTCTCATGATCACCCCCTCACCATGGTCATCCCTTCATGGTTATCCCCATGATCATCCTTCAGTGGTCATCCCTCCATGGTCATCCCTTCATGGTCACCCCTCCATGATCATCCTCTCATGATCACCCCCTCACCATGGTCATCCCTCCATGGTTATCCCCATGATCATCCCTCCATGGTCCTTCCTTCATGGTCATTCCCCCACGGTCATCTCCCCATGGTCACCCCTCCAGGGTCATCCTTACCTGGTCATTCCCCCATGGTCATCCCTTCATGGTCACCCCTCCAGGGTCATCCTTACCTGGTCATTCCCCCATGGTCATCCCTCCACGGGCAGTCTGGGGCCCTATCCCCTTCCTGCCACCTCGTGCCTCCTCCACCTTTGCCCCCAGACCCCCAGTTAACCCATCCCAGGAGGGTCGTGGCTCCCAGCAGGGTGGTGGCAGAGGGATGCCCTGCCCGATGAGCTGTCCCCAGGAGCAGTGCCCCTCCTCGGCAGAGCAAACGATGCTCAAAGTCCCCAGCCAGCCCTGCTGGCCACAACCCTGCATTATGGGGTGCCCCTGAACCCCATTTCAGCCCCCGCTGTCAGCTCTCAGCAGTGACAGGCACTGCAGAGAGGGGACACGGGACCAAGTGTGTCCCTGGATAGCCCAGCATCACTCCAGCTGCTCCTTTCCCTGTGGCTTTCACCCACCGCCCCTCGCTGGCGCCCTGCCCAGCCCAAGGGGACGAAGCTGTCCCCTTTCCCCAGCTCAGAGCTGCTCTGGGTTCTCTGCACAGTCCCCTCGCTGGCAGCCCAGCCCAGCTCCGTGCTCGTGGCTCTGCTTCCCTCTAGTGACAGCACATCAGCAGGATCCCTGCTCTCCCCTGGAGCAGACCCCAAGGATGCGGGGTGGGAGCATCTCCATCCCCACTGAGTCCTGTAGAGCTTGACATGAAAGATTCCGTGTCCATGTGAGTAATCTTAATTTCTCTGTGCACGTTCTCTGCCTGCAGCTGTTCATGGACATTCCCTTCCCCAGCACAGTGCTGAGATGCTGGAGACCCTTGGGATGGTTCCTGGGAAAGGCTGATATGGAGAGAAGCTGCACTTGGTGGGAGGGGGCACTTGGTGGGAGAAATTAACCCTTCCCACACATGCCCAGCTCTAAAGTCCTTCCAGCATTCATACCTGCCATCCTTTTCCTCATGGAGCAGCAGTGAGGGGATGGGTAAGGATGGAAGAGGGACGGAGCAGGACTCCAGTCCAGTGTCTGAGGCACTCAGCTCGGAAAAAAGCAAATTCCTTCTTTTCTGATAAAACACCCAAAACTCATTTACAAATCAGGGTTCCTTGCTCTACACATTGTCTCTCCTATGGTGGCCAAAAGCAGCCATGTCCTAATAAAAAAATCTGTGCCTTCTGCAAGATGCAATCTCTGTGATGTCTCACCACAGACTTAATTCCAAAGCTTCTGTACACGAAGCATTTTCATCAAGAAATCTGTTTCTCTGCACAATTTTTCTAGGCTCTCCTCATCACTGTTTAACAGCTAGACTGCTCCTTGAGGAGCTTTGAATGCACTTTCTATTAAATTTTAGCCACCCTCAAAGGTTGTTCCATGACCCAAACCGTGATCCCAATATCTGTTGTCTGTGATACTCCAAATGCCTCATCCCATGCCCCAAAAACGTGTTTTGGAGCATAGGGGGCCTTGCATCCTGGTCCCTAGGACCCACCACCCATCCCATGGCAGTGCCTAACATCCCCTCCTCTGCCCAGCTCAACATTTGCAGCCCACTTCGCCAAGCCTGAGACTCCTAGTCCTCCCATCACCTGGGGACTGGCACCCAGCTCTGGAGGAGCATCTCCAGGTCCTCCAAGTCCCCACGGCAGCCCTGCAGCCCCTCTGCTGGGTGGATCTTTGCTCCAGGTGCCTCTGGCAGGCACCACCACCATGGCTTGTTCACTGTGATTTATCCACTCCCTGACTTCTGGTCAGCCAGTTCTGCATGTTTATTCACCGGGGGAAAAACTTCCCCTTCCCTCATAATTGTTTCTGTTTCTGCTACTTTCTTCTTCATCACTGCCTTGTTTCGGGAAAAAGGGCTTTTTGGGGAGGTGATTCATTGCTCTGTGGATTTTCCTGCATACTCAGTTCACCAGCTGCCCCATCCTCTCCCCCTTGCTGCTGCTTCCCCCAGTTCACCCATTCCCCAGAGCTAATTGATTCACTGTTGAGGTTTATTTCTGGCTTCCAGCTGTTGGGCCCCTTGCAGCTGCCTTGAGCTGGTATGTTCCTCTCTGCTCCCCCAGTCTCTCCTCCTCCTCCTCACTTTTCTCCTGCTGCTACTCCTGGCTATATTCCTCCATCTAATTCCCCTGCTGCCTTCTCCATGCAGTGTTTAATGGTCTCAGTGTGCCCCACCGATGACAACCAGAAGCTGGAGGGCAGCAGGACATGTGGCGTGAGCAGGGCTTCAGGGTAAGGTGCCACCAGCCTCTGGGCACCAGGCTGAAGGGCTGCCACCCATTCCCTGATCCAGGCTGAGCACACAAGGCAGCAGGATCAAGCCCATCCCTTCATTCCTCCATGTTCAGAAGGAATAAAATTCCGTAGCTGTGATTTACCTGAGGTGATGCCACAAGCACAAGGTGTCCTGGGTGGCTCTAATCACTGGTATCCACCAGACCCAAAGGAGCTGCTGTCTTTGAAGATGTGGAGAGGGGGGATTTAGGTAGCTTGATGCCAACTGCAGCACCCAAAGCTGAGCCCTGGGTCTGTAAATCCCCCAGCTCAGCTGTTCTTTAATCCTGGAGGCGTCTCAGTTCTGCAGTGCCCTTGGCACAAGGGAGATCCTGGCCAGGCAGAGGCTGTGTCCCAGGCAGCTTCCCCTGACCCTTCCCTTGTGGCAAACCCTCCTGGATGTACAAACTC